GTCGTTCATGTCCCACAAATCACCACAAACTTTTACCCAGCCTCCAAAGTGAAGGATTTCAACACGACCTGCACAGCGGTTTGGCCCATTTGCAAGTCCTAGCACCAGATCTGTGAAAGACACAAATCAACAGATTGCTAGACTATTTGTCCATTTTCACATGGAGATGTCTTAATATTTCTTGGTTACCAATTAAAATTTGTCCCATATTGGCAATGCAATGCCATTTATTGAGAAGCTAGTCATCCTCCTTTAGCTCCTGGCTGGCCATAGCCCTATCCTAGTTGACATGATTGTCTCAGCAGAGAGGCCAACGACTCAGTGATCAATGTGCCTCACCCTAGATGTCCCACCAAATGAAGAAGGTTGGTCCGCGTAGCCATGGCTTGTGCGGTGTTTTTTCTGTGAATGAATAGGAGACTTTGGGCTCCAGCACTCTGAACTATCTCTCCCAAGCATGAGACTCACTTCATGTTTCCAGGGCTTCAATTTCAATTTCATTAGAATCATAATTAAATTCATAGGGCATTGCCATTTTCCAAGCCACAACACAGAAAGTTGTTAGCTAAATGCAGAACAATGTAAATTAAAATCAGTACAAATGTAAACAATACTGTATGTAGACAGACTCACCATCACCCATTGTTTGAACTGGAAAAAAAACATAACACCAACTATATTAGTACAAAATACTGCAGTAACTTCTTTGAAAGCATAAATTTTTCTAACATACAATGTTGTCTGGCACTAGAGAGAACTTCATACAGGGTCCACACTGTGTGTGCCCCAAAACTCTGCTCATGGTGCTCCCACTACCCCTGCAAAAAGGGAGGTTTATGGCAAAGTGTGAGAGGGGCTGACTGTTCTGTGATTACATGAAGAGCTGCTGCCTCCAGGGTTACGGTAGCATATCAGAGCAGCTCTGACTTCAGAGTCCCGTAGATATTCCCAGCCCCCTCTGAAACCCTCCTCTGGCATCAGTCCCTGCAAAAACTCTCTGGTCGCTACAGCTAAAGTTGATACATTGCTGCACATCACGGTGCTTCTTTAAGCACTCATCTTTCTATTTTAACCCATGTGACAATACTTAGGTCCAAGCCAATACAAACTAAAGGGTTTGTTTCTGATATAGTGACCAGATGTCTTACATCTGAGTCCAGATATATTACATCCACTGCCTTCTTCACTCACTGCGTTCCTCAAAAACACTGATCAGTTTTTTCTCCTGTGATACAGTCTTTCAAAGCTCAGGTTACCCATAGTTATTTTTCATATGCTTAGTCTTCTGCAGTCATAGAATCATAGAAAATTAGGGTTGGAAGAGACCTTAAGTCATCTAGTCCAAAGCAGGACCAACCCCACTTCCATCATCCCAGCCAGGGCTTTGTAACGCTGGGCATTAAAAACCTCGAAAGATGCAGATTCCACCACCTCCCTAGGTAACCCATTCCAGTGCTTCACCATCCTCCTAGTGAAATAGTTTTTCCTAATATCCAATCTAGACCTCCCTCACTGCAACTTGAGGCTATTACTTCTTGTTCGGTCACATCTGCCACCACTGAGAACAGCCTAGCTCCATCATCCAGTCATCGTGCTAGTGGTTTCATTTCAGTGAATATGGTCATTAAACTGTAAAATTCTATTCTATATTTTCAGTAGGTGGGTACAATATAAAATAGAAACAATATTAGTAAAGCAAAGATAAAATAGAGCTTACAAGTGGTGGTTGGCTCTGGCGTCGTAGTTGTAGTGGTGTCAGGAATGGTTGTAGTTGTTTCATAAGTGGATGTAGTGCTCTCTTTTGAGAAAACAAAGACAAAAATAGTTCGGATGAACATGGAGAAGAAAGGCAAGAATGAGAGGAGAATGGCGGATGTGTTGTGATTGGCGCAGTCTTCATGACAGCTGAAGACCGATCAATCCAGGTGATTCAGGTGATCCATTGGCTTGAGTGGAGTGACACTGATTTATATCAACTGAGGATGTGGCCTAAACATTATTTTAAATTAGCATTTTAATGCATCCGAAGAGAGATCAACAAACCTAAATGATCAACTCCTTCAATTGCCTTCAAGTCCCATTCAGTCAATCTTGTAGAACAAGATTTCCTTTCTCCTGACATCACAATAGTAACAGTGGTGGCAACAGCTACAAAAAAGGTTGGCATTTCTAGCACTCTGTAAAAAAGCAAGGAACATCTCGGCAGAAAGGAAGAAGATTGGGGAAAGAGATGGCTGGATAGATGAAAAGAGCTAGGCTGGTCATAAGGAGGGATCATCAATATCGTTCATATTTCTTGATGATTTATAGCTTACAATCTAAAGTATGGATTTGTAACCTAACTGTGCACATAGCTAGCCTATGAAGCCACTTAGCTTTGCCCTTTCTCCCCCATTGCTTGTTAAACCAACATGTTACAACTTGTCTTAGCTAATATTGTAAGCTCTTCCAATGTGTTTGAAGCCACTATTGTAATACAGATAAATAATAATTTTTAAAATATATGTGTCCACAAGGTGGTGCTAAATCTTTTAGATCCATGAAAGACATTCATTCAAAATAAACCATTGAACACAAGGTGATTTTCTTTTCAATGAGCATGAGTTTTTGTTGGAAAAATCAATTGACCACAGGACAATACCACTATCAATTCAGCCATTTCTCTCTCAAACATATTTAGAAATAACTCAAACAGCTATAATGTTAAGTTTAGTTTAGTTTTCCTTGATGTCAAATGGTTAGAAAAAAATAATTTCTAAAGACTTTGAACACATTGGCCAAACATATTCTTGTTCCTTGGCCTCTTCTTGGTCCTAGCTTTAAACCACATAATCTGTCTCTGCGCAGGGCCTGAGTCTAATCTCACAAAAGTGAGAAACAAGGCTCCATTGAAGTCAATTGTTTTTTTGGGTCTAAAGTCAGTATGTGAGATCAGAATCAGGCCTATCTTGTTTATAAGGGGCCTGTCACCATGGCATACTTCAGCTGGATCCAGCTAAACTACTGGTGGTAGCTATGTCATTTGAAAAAGAAACTACATTCAGTTTAAGTGGTGAATATTGAATCATTCTATGGTGAATATTATAATAAAATAACAA